CTGGCTGGAGCCTTCATCCCTTGTCTATTTCTTACACTAGATACCAGCCGATAACACCCCCCCCCCCCCCCGCTCATAGAGACTGCGTATTACAGTTGATTATAGTTCCTGGGCTCCCTGTGATAGCACTATAATTTCTGCTTCGAGTGAAATGAATTTGAGGAGAGGGGTGCCATGATTCATTGTGATAACTTCTAGTAATCGTTACCGATATCCCTGATAGTTGGGAAGGGCCACGAGCACGTGTTTTAATGTGTTCTTGACCATAGTCAAAACATAGCCATCGTGACCATTATTTACTTTATAAATGGGATCGAGAAATCGGTGATTAAACCATGTTCATAATGTCTTTCCTGATCCAATTCAAAGCACAATACAAGGTAACGTTAATCCATTATTTTTGCCACGAGTGGAGTGTAGCAGTGTAGCTAAAATTGATCTTCAAGATGGTGATTACACCAGGAAGCACCTAGTTACCTTCCACAAATTAAAGCTGAATAATTGTTGCCGGCTACAATACCAAACAAACACATCGCCTGCTGTTGGTTATGTTCATGGTTGTTCTATTAGACGATCGGTTTTTGTATATGGTTGCCAAAATACGACGACGTTAGATGAGACTATAGCGCATGTACATACAGTTACAGTGATAGTATCATTTTAAGTGAATCCAGTCATTACACTATACTGCCGTTCGTAATCCTTTCGTAACTAAATATATTCCAGTATAGAGCCCTAAGAAGATGTTGACATTTCTCGGTATTCATGCTTTTAGTAATGCACAATTGGAATTAGCCCTAAAAGATATACAACATTTATATTTTATTTTAATGTAGTTTGCCTTGAAACAATTGCACAGATGAAATCAGTTTCTGTTCGATGTCGATATGTATAATTTGAATAGCGCCACCTAGTGGCAACAGTTAAAACTTTTTTCCTTGCTGAAATAAATACATTTTTATTTTATTCTAATGCAATGTATTATTAAATTATGGCATGGAAATGTTACTGGGTTGTAGATTTAGAATCCGGTGGTAAATATTGTGTGTGTTTTCCCTTAATGCTGTAATTGGTATTCAAATTATAGTATTTATTATAAGATACATTTATTACATATATAAAAAAACTTTATGAAGAAATATCACCATGGTATAAATTGATCAACATATTCGATTGGTATTCCATCAATATTGAAATCGGGTTCACGGTTAAGATTTCAGGTGACAAAAGGCTATTGACGATAGTTTAAATACAAACAGTAATAAGAAATTATAAAAAAAAAAGATTTTCAATTGCAAGTAGAAGTTGATGTGCACGGACAATCCAATTGATAGCAGCTCAGCAACGTGAGATGAGATGTGTTTGCAGACGGATCGAGCTTGAACTGAGAAATGGCAGTTAAAGCAGCTTTGTAGAGTGTAACGCATTTTAGGGAGGGGGAATTTATTCCAAAATATCATAACCTCATAATGCACATCAGGAGCCTTCAATCGGAATATTTTAATGTTCCGTACAACCATCTGTTTCGAATATCAAAATGAAACAAGTGACTTTAATGGCAAATTATCTTCTTGAAACGGCTTCCAACACATTGAAAGATATCCTTATATCAAAATGGAATAGTCTGCGGGATTACACAATCTTGAGATTAACTTATTACGTCAGGTGCGCCTAAAGTTGGTTGTGACCTCGGTGATGACCCTGGTGACCCAGTATCCTCATCTATGCCCATATTTGGTGGTATGCCAGGTGACATGGCATCAATGTCAACATTTGTAGGTATTCCCGGGGCTTCTCCTTCTCTGTCCTTTCCAAACATTCCATCTGATGATCCTTCGAACATATCGCCAACATTTATGCCAGGCCCACTTGGAAATGTGCCAATTTCTGTAAGGTACATTAGAATATTTAGATTGCACAGTACTTGGTGAATATTGTAACAAATTAACGAAATTTTTCATAATGGTTATCAAGTCTTGTATGCAAATTATGTAAATTTGGACATCAACATTCTGTTGACAAAAAGTTTGTTTAATTATAATTGGCAAAAACGCAGATATAAAATTGGATATTCCATATTATTCATATTTGCAACTGCATTTACAGTACTGTGTCACTACCTTCCTATCCGTATGACAGCCAGTGACTTAGCTGGCTTTCCTGATGTGTTTGGCATACTAGTAATCTTCCAGGAAGGCATCGAGATGCAACAAATAATCATGTAATATTATAAATACACAATTGTACCTACCTTTGAGTCTGACTAGCTCTTGTTCGACTCCAATTACTCGCTCTCGAAGTCTATGTATTTCTTCTAGTAGTGACGTCAACTCAATTACCTGAATAATTATACGCATGAATTGAGATCCATTGTAAACCCATATCACGTGATTGAAACACTAAATATATAAACTGGCAGATTCTTGTACGATGAGAACTTAATTGAACAAAAATGTACAATTATATTATTTAATGTTAAACTTTACCGTTATTCCTGATTCTCCGCTGTCTCCCTTTTCTCCTTTTATTCCCGGCAGACCGTCATCACCTGGCCTACCTAAGCAATAATATCATGAGAAGATAACAGATGAATCAATTCAATCAATTGAAGGGATCATTGTCCCGGAGTCTTTGTCAAAAACGCCAATATTTTATTTGTTATTTATAATAGAAACGTTTTAAGCCAAAAATGTATTTTGTATTTCGACGTAAACATGATTAATTTACCATAAAAACTAAATTAATTGTCATACCTGGTATTGCTGTTCCCGGTATTCCCTGAGGTCCTGGTGCACCTGGGGGTCCCACTGGACCCGGTAACCCCGGCATGCCTGGAGATCCAGGGGGTCCCATTCCACCACTTCCAAATGGTACCTTCCTGGGTGATCCCGGTGTGGGTGAGCTGGTCATTCCTGGAATGTCTATAGGAGCTGGAATGTTGTCCCTAGAAGACGATGTTTCTATCTGGATGGGAAATAATGTATACATAATAGAAAACAATTTTCACATTTCTGAGAAACTGAATTCACGCGCCCTCTAAATCCGCCATTGAAAATCATCCGCCCCAATTCATTTTTTAAAGTTCAAGATCATATTATAAAAAGTATATTCTTACCAACAGATTAATTTTATCTTCTAACGATTGTAGCCTCGTGCAATTAAAACATTCTGTAGAGAAACGAGAACATAACTAATATAAATAAATATATTCCATATATGGGGGTGTTCTGTTATTGTTCACAAATGAATATGGTCCTTTTAAAATATGGGATAACTGGAACTGTTCGAGATAATTCATATCATAATTTTCACGTGGACGCTTTAACTCGCATGTCTATACAGCCACCATTTGGTTGGTTAGAGTGTTGGATGTCAGAGGTGAGCAGCCAATAAGAGAATTGCTTATATAACACTCACCTTTTTGACAATTTGATCCAGTGAATCCCGGACAACATTTCATTTCGGTTGTGTGCACTGTTTGAAAATCTATTCTATAAATTGGACGAAACATAACTCTGGGGGAAAAAATAAGAATTTATCTTTATATTTATTCACGTAATCAATACAGGTGATTTAAATCAATGTTTCCATGACAACAATCCAACTGGCCATTACAGGAAACAATCTAGTATGAGTCAGACATGATGGAAAATTACAGCACTGGTGGTCTGTCATTGGCAATACGGGAAATTTGCCGGACCCCAGTATCATGTATTAAGTGGCTGAAGCAACCATGAAGTAGAACCAAAAAAGACTGGAGAAAAGTATACCAGGCTTTAATTCTGTTTTCACCCTAGTACGTGGATAGGTACACAATGGAAGTCATTGTCTCATGACCGGCAAGTTTGTTGCCGCTATGATCTACAAATGCATTCATAGCAATGAAACTGAAACGGCGGAAATGCATGGGTGTCACTTGTAAGAAAATATCGCCAACTGTGCTTATAGTTTTAACTTTCGAAAATCTTACATCCATTAATATTTTTGTAAACAGTATCCAGTACGACTGTAATGGCGCCGGAAAGGAGCAGATTTCAAACGAACGTGCAATTGATTTGTTCGTTATTTATCTAACCCAGTGTCGGAAGCTAAGTAAACGTGCAATCGTTTAGTTACACGTTGATTGCTACAAGACTATGCTGACTATAGTTTCTAACAATTCCCCGGGTAATGTAAAGGCAATTTGTTAATTGATTGGCTAGGTCGTGAGTACGGGGCGCAATGACTCTCTTGAGAACAGAAACATGTCGTCAGAATCCAGTACAATTGTACCAAAGTGTTTGCTTCCTATAAGTTGTATGCCTGCGAAAGTAAACTGTCAAATCAATGTACTGTGAACGAATACTGCGAACCCATCAACGGGGACTCGGAGGCTGTCTTCGTCTTGTTTTCAGTCTCAAAACAAATTAGGGTTATCGAATCAATGACCTCTGTACCTGATTGCCGGGTCATTGCACCACTACATGATACTAATATGAAACACGCCAAGACATGGTTGACAGATGACGTAATCCAGCGATATTACAGTATTCTAGCGATATATGTTACTATGAATCAGCGCCATCGCAGGTGAACGGTTTAGCCCGAGGAGGGCTTCTTAAAGATTTGATGTTCTAAAAAAGACGTGGTCATGGGAATTAGTCGAAACCCCGATCAAGTACTATATATTTTCAAGAATTATTTGAAAACAATATTCCTTGGACACGTCTTTACAAATGTGACAACGTCAAAAAAGTATGAATTTGGATCTTTGGTATGTCTGCACATCCTCTATCAAGATATAGTGGTGATGAAATGGCCGAATAACGGACCTTAGTTTGCGTAGTTGCCCCTGTAATATATAACTGAGAATATATATACAAATATCCGCAATACATTTTCCGACTACGATGTTCATAGATTTCTACAACCACAAATGTATCGAAAACCAGTCTATCATTGTATATGTTTTGGAGGATGGGACGTGACGTTATACACACAGCTAGCTGTCATTTTGCAAGAAACTCTCGCGAGAACATCGGGTTTTTCTACGCCGCTACCAAGTGACGAAAAAGTAACACAACCCGCGAGAATTTGCTTGTATAAATGTTTTTACCTGAAGGAATGTCCACAATTTCTGTCACGTGACGAGAATGGCTGTTTGAGTTTATAATTGCACCAAGCTTGTTTAACTTTCTCCACGTACATCTCGGTTCCGTTACGTACTCGACACGAGACGTGTTTTGTGACAGTATGTTCACACCAATTACCATTCCTAGATAACAGGATTAGAATATAGAAATTTGACAACATGGCATAACACAGCTTAAGCATTCTGGACATCATAGGTATTTCAATTGGCATATTCCACGCATATTTATAACCAGAGTGGGTAAGTGTCATCCAATTATATGTTATATGCTTTTCGTCATCGCCTCGTTCGAAATTTCCTTTCACCATCTCGTTTATGATTTGTAAATATGCGAAATAACCTTTGACCTGATGCTCGTTAACACGCTGAACACAATACTTTCTTGTCTTTCAGTGGTAAACATTATAAATGCCTGTATGACGTAATTACTGGCAAATATTAGGACTTTGAGTAGAACCATACCTAACATGTTTGTTAAATCTTGAAACAAGAAGGAGATAAAGCTGCCGCACTTCAAGCAGTCTACTTCGGTTATGGTATCAATTTCCTGGAATAATTTAATTGGTAATGGCTTGGAAGATGGGGTTTGTGATACTCCAGTAAACAGTGCACACATTTACCACGCTTTATAACCGTTGGATTCACTCATACATTTTTAATATCTTATATGTTCTTGATATAATTAGGAGCCAATTGTATGCGCCCTCTACCGACAGCCTAAAACAGAACCATCAGACGGTGGATGGCATAACTCACACGAGTAAGGAATAAGTTACCGAATTGAAAATAAAATTTCGTTTGTTCCTATTTATTCAATAACATGGTTTCATGCAAATACGATATTTGAGTCCTAATTGTTTTCGACATTTGTAGCAATATATGTATTAATTCATTTTTCTGAGTGAACAGGTACATTTTACCAAGCGTGTATCCATCTTCTATCTCCATTACTGCAGTTGAGGGGTTACGTCACTGAATAGATGGTACAAATTCAAACTAGAACAACAATACATTTTTCTGATCTTAGAATCCAAAATTAACCAATTTTTAAACCAAGGAAAGGGAAAGGGTCATGCACTGAAATCCAGAGTCTGGAGTATTAAAATAATTATCAATATTCAGCTTATGAAAAGTGAAATACAATTTTTATTTTAAAAAGTATGTTAGTGACATTCTCTTATCCCAGATCCCATTTTAATATATTTTAAACATCTTTAATATATTTTAAACATTTTGTATACATAGTCTGCAATAATGAATGCTCACATGCTATGTAGAGAAAAAATTAACCATCCCACAATGCATTGTGTATATGCTCAGTAACTTCCTCAGTAGATGTAAAACTCGAATATGGCTTTTAAAACTGCGTCACATACTAGAAATGATCCGTACATGGCACGATCTGTAGACCGCACACATTGACGTATTGCCATAAGGGGTATTTTATTTAAAGCTACAAATAATGCCTGGCGTATCGAAATGGTCTGCAGGCGCCCAAGATAATGCTACACCGTCTTGACAAAAGTAGACAGACCAGTTTCTAGAAGTGATCAGTTGAGCTCGAAGACGCCGAAACACTGTTTACAAGCTTAATACGGACATTTAAGTCGACTTGAATGCACGTCGGCCATATTAAGTTTGAATTATGAGAGGGGATTTACTATCAAAGATATCATATGTCATCCCAAATGGCTGAAATTGATCACACACAAAAACAAAATTTTTCGTCACGATACAGCTTTGAATCCACATTTTGTCGTGTAGCACTTTGTACATTGCAGCTACTAGTTTTGCTAAAGGTATAGATTTGTTTTTGATATGTTAGAAATATGCGTAAATGGGAGTTTCAGAAAACCTAATTGGACTCAATCAGGCAGATACCAAACATTGTGATATCAATTTGTCAATATCGTTTCATCAAGCTCGTGTGATGGTTTGTTGGGAGAGGGTTGTGGTAGTGATAGAAATAGTCAAAAACATGAAGCGAGTTATATTATACAATGTGCGTTTAGGAAATACTGTTCATATTTTCATATCATGGTGTTAAAACAAAAACAGTTTGCTGGCACGCATTTTAGGATTGTTGGTTTGTAAGTGCTCCAAAACTGTCATTGACAACATACATTTAACATCGAGCGAAGCATATATAAGAATGACCCGATAGGAAAATAGTATTATTTACTTTCCGAGTATAGACTTTTCACTACTTGTGAATAGGATTCGCCAGGCGTAGTGTTTCTGCACAACAACATGGCCGGCAGCCTGAGTGCACAGTCATGGGTTCACTGATCATTGGAGGTGGCATTCATTATGTCATATTAAAGAAAAATTGACATTTGACCAGTCTAACATATCTCTGGTTCAATCGTATTGGTCAATTTGCGAAATGTTGGTTTTTATGCACTTAATCTTAGGGATTTAACATTGTTGTTTTAACACAGAGAGCCAAGAAAATATTAATATAGTAGCGTGGCGTACCGGAAATCTCGAATTTCTGTAGTAGGATTGCGTTTATTGCTTGCTATACTGTTATACCGACTGTATGTCCATCACTTTATTTATTTACAGATACACCCAGAAGCACCGTATACCAACCAGTCACTTAATGCTAGATAAAAGTCTGCATAAACAGCTACATGTGATTAATATAGGCGTATTAAACTCATTTAGATAACGATGTTTCCTAAAAGAAAAACATTTCCAACGGTTTCCAGTAGCAAACATCCGATCATTTCTTTATCAGTACATTCATACTGATATATACCAGGGGAGATATCTACTCAGTTTGCACGGTGGTCCTAGTAGCATAATACCATTGGTATATCTGACGATGAAAATATACAAATACAAGATATGCGTATGAACAAGCGCCATCAACGACGATTTGTAACATAGAATCAGAGAATGGCCGGGTGATGATACGGACTTTAGTACAATTTTACGTGTGTACATTTACGTGTTTTAGTATTACTATGCTTTCTAAAAATCTTAACAATGTTACCATGGATACCAGTTATTTGTCACTGTAAAGTTAATAGTGTCGGCGATTTGTCAGATTTCAAGTTTGTCGAATATCAACAAATAAGTCCCTTATGTCCACATAAACTGTGTTCCGATGCAACGTTCACGGGGAAATGAATTCCAAGCATGCTGGGTAAAGCATGTATAAATAAGGCCAGCACCCGTGAGACATATTCTCAGTTACTAATGGAATAAGATCAGTGTTTGTCCCAAATCCAAGTCGTGAAGGAATGAATGAATAGTGGAGATTATCTTACATCTAGGGAGACTGCGAAAACATTATATGAAAACACTGAATGTTACACCCTAGTGTACATCCAATACGGCCACTAAGTGCCATCTAGCCAGGACTGTGGATTGATGAATCTCAACCGGGTCATTAACGCGTATAACTTTGTTTAGTTCATCAAGGGAGGAGTTAGATATTTAAATAAACAAGACACGAAGCGGCAATAAGGTGCTTTTGGTGAGGTGACACTAGAACGTCAACATTGGCCTGGAAGGGATGTTACGCATGGTTGTCGTCTCTGTCAGATATAGCTATGTAACACAGTCTAATTTTAAAGCGGGGGAGTCGTCACCTACGCATGCGTCAGATGGCCATGGCGTGTCATTGTTTACAAACAAACGTCTACCCATAAACCTTTGTGTTTTTAGCCTGTGTTGTTATCGTCGCTTGGGACTCAATTCCCGCGCGTGCGCAGGTGATGACCCTCCCGCTTGAAATTGAAAAGCGTAAAGCTGGGTTCTTATAAATATATACATGTATAAATTTGCATTTTTATAATTAAAATTGGGCGTTCAAAACCAAATTGACCAATCCAGTAAAGACAGCGTGACATCATCGTTAGTTCTAATTAATATTAAAGAGATTTTGAATATGTCCGCGATCTCAATTATTATGTCATGTGAAGGCTTGTGCGCGCATTATAAAAGTAGACAATGTTTAGCACGCGAATTTTTTTTCTCACTATATTGATTCTAAAAAAATTACATTTTCTGTAGAAAATAGAACTTCTATTAAACCGTTTTGTCCTCCATGAATCGGATGCATTATTTTAGAATTCCGACAATAAAACAACGTACTTCATGAAAATGTTAGGAGAGGCCGAATCCGGCTTTTTAAAGCGGGAGGGTCGTCACCTGCGCACGCAGGTCCCAAGCAATGATAACAACACACACTAAGTACACAAAGGTTCATGGGTAGACGCTTGTTTGTAAACAATGACACGATATTGCCACCTGACGCATGCGTAGGTGACGACTCCCCGCTTTAATACCTGAAACTCATGTTCACGGTCAAATTACAATGCTTTATGAGGGTGTTGTCTCGCTCTGACATCTTTATTTCAATTCAGACACCATTATGTGTTATTGCAGTATATTTAATGCAGTAAGCTGCTGTGCAAAATATTTCACACTGGCAGTGTTGACGTGCGTTATGGATTGACCATTAGAAACTAGGGTTTGCAGGCATGATTACATTATTCAAAAAAACATAGCTCAGTGGAGGAAATATTAATTATGTGCGACAGACTATTTAAATCGTTCAAGTTATGTTAGTTTCAGATTTATAGGGTGAAGCCTCTCCCATATCTGACTGGTCTATAGGCCGATCTCATAGTTTGGCGACAACAACACACGCTAAAAACGCAAAGGCTCATGGGTAGACGCATGCGCAGGTGGCGACTCCCCCGCTTTAACTGAACGATGACAAATCTAACATGAACACGCCCTCAGTAGTATCATTAGTATATGCAAATTAAGTGAAGAAAGTCGTGACTGGTGGCATGACGTCAGCGAATAAACATCTCTCTTTTCTGAATCTGAGACTGTCTGAACTTGGCTGCCACGGCAACAATATAGTCTCTCTCACATCCAGGAAACATGTAACCTCTACATCATAGCCAAAAATAAACGTTGATGTACAAACTTGTTCTTCGCAAATATCATGATGATGTTGATCCCGGGTTCCAAATTAACGTTTGCAAGTAGTACTCTGTGTGTAGATTGTACCGTCCAAGGCCTAACATGTCTCGTTTCGTTTATTTGTCTTTGAAAATTAAATCCACATATATGTTAGCGGCGATACGACGATAGATAGCATGAGAAACTCGGGGTGAGAAAAATCATATGCACAGCGACAAATTAAAAAAAAAATCCGCATGGGTTGTCTCTACCTCATTGTGCCATTTTCACTGACTAGCAACAATCATGAAATTAACCTGAACCACGCCTGAATTATTCAATTCAGCAGAGTTGACGGTAGTATTCATTCAATTCACAACAACATGTGTAAACCATTAATATGTTAATACTCTGATTGTTCAGATTGAACTTGAATGTCGATCCCTGTCTACCCCTGACCGTGACCCTGATTACTAACAGACTTCACCGATAAATGAGTACATGATGGGCACTTTATCGTGTTCGCCTTTATCCGGTGAAGTATTTAGCGACGCCATTTTTATCAATTGATTCAATGTTCGGTATTTAGAACGTCGCTGTCTTGATTGTATTGTATTGGCGGGCATGATAGATTAACGTCAAAAGTTTTCTATACAAGTAACGTGTAGAACGGCTCGTAGTGGAACACTTGTGACGTCATATGCACATACTCTATGATATGTGACTATACAGTTATCAGAAAAGTTCGTGGTTACTATGGTAACCATTTACAAGTACTGGTATTTTTCAACAATGTGACTCATTGCTATCAAGTTTGGACGGAATTCACTATATGTCATTACTAGAGGAAATTTTAATAAACAGATTTTCATTAACAAAAAAATGTTTGGGTATTTCACATAGGTCTGAAAAAAAATGCAGCCCTGGAATCATGCTGCAACTAAAATACACGATATAGTGTTTGTCGCCATTCACACATTTTAACCATGTAACCGTTGATATGGCGCCTAGGTGATGAAGATTAAATCTTAAAGCGCGATGGTCGTCGCGCAGCGCGTGTTCGAAGTTCATGTAAATAAACAATGTATTTTACACGCGTTGTATACGTCACTATGAGTCCCATATCGAACAGGACGCGGCGCAACGACTGCCGCCCTTTAAATGTTTATAAAACGTGGGGTAAGCATTCTTTTTAGCTCCATGGATAAGTTCAGCTTGATCCATTTTGCACGCTGAAGTTATCTGATAAAGATGCTAATTTTCTCCAGATCCCAAATCAAATACAGATGGTATTTATTTGGGATTGAGCCTCTCTATTGCGTTTGTAACATCTAATAATGCGTAAACATGACAACAATGTGTTAGAACTTCGGCAACAAGGATATGTATCAGAGCTCTTCTGCTTTGAGGGTTGCGTCACTTCACCAAATGGTCAGGACGAATTACTTTTAAGTTAAACTTCCTTGTTTCAACACCACACACAAGTTAACAAACATAAAAAGTTATGTGCGTTCATTATCAAACAAACGTCGATTGGTTATTGTTTCGTAACGTTCACTCATAAACGTCAAATCACAGTTTTCTAAGTATATGCAGTGTTGTTATATATTGATAGTACGCAGCCATGATATATTAAAGGACCGAGTCTACATATATTTGGAGTGCAGCGGACGGCAATGCTTTGTCTGTACACCGTTTGTTCGGTATAATTACTGTAAACGCGTACGTGGCAGACTTTTTTTATGTACTAGTAGGTCGGTTTTATACCGATTGCAGCTGTGAGTGAAATAGAATAAAAACCAACATGACTTATGGCACTAGCATGCTTAGGTGACAACTGTTTGTTTTTCTAAGTCTGGGTTTCAATCTATGCCATAAAACCTTAGATATGCTACATTTGTGGTTGGCTGATCACGGTGACACCGTCAATACAATTCATACAATACGGGACTCACATTATATTGAAACGTTAAAGTACTTCATCCATTTCGATTTTGAGGACTTCTCAGTTCTCGTCTTTCATTTGAACAACAAGTGCTTTCTCTTTTCTGGAAAAAAGGGTCATTTGAGAAGAAACTGAAGCCATTCTCTTTGTGTATGCTCTACAGAACCGATTCTCTCTGAAGTAACTATCAATAGTGTCACGTGATCAATAACACGTGATATCTTTTGACCAATCACCCTCAACATTCGACCAACAAATTATAACGTTTTACACGGCGGGGGAATGTGGCGGTTAATACACTGAAATAGTGACTAGGTGTATCAGCAATAAAATGGGACAAGAAGTTATTTGGTCGGTAATCGTTAAGTCATGTGTGTGCATGGGAAAAGCATCAATAATGAAATAAAGATTTGGTTTGTGACTTACTTCGTGCATACAAATAAAATAATATTATCATTCGCCATTTTTATTTCGTTTGTCTTTGGAACTAATTTTCATCATCTAATAATCCAATAACTATTTAGAATAAAATTAAATAAAGATAGATTGATTGTTTACGACACAAATACTATATATAACCATTTGTGTGCATTTCATGTGCGTTTCCTATAGTCCCGGATGTCAGATCATAGCCGAACATTTCCCCAACTCAATACCGTATTGGCTCACAAGTAACTATAACTATTGTTATATCGGAAGACTTCTTCAGATGCTTACGGGGATTCAGTACGAATCATCATGATTACTTAGAGGTCATCATTTTAACGAATTCTTCATAATTTACCTTCCCATCACCATCGATGTCGGCTTCACGAATCATTTCGTCCACTTCTTCGTCGGTCAATTTTTCACCCAGGTTCGTCATAACGTGACGTAACTCCGCCTTGCAGATGTAACCGTCGCCATTTTTGTCAAAGACGCGGAATGATTCGCGGATCTCTTCTTCAGCGTCTGTTTCGTGCATTTTACGGGCCATCATAGTGATGAATTCAGAGAAGTCGATGGTCCCGTTTCCGTCCGCATCCACCTCGTTTACCATGTCTTGTACTTCGCTATCTGTCGGGTTCTGTCCTAACGACCGCATGACTGTGCCCAGTTCTTTGGTTGTTATGGTGCCATCGTTATCTTTGTCGAATAACGAAAACGCTTCCTTGAATTCTGCAATTTGTTCTTCTGTTATCGTATCGGCCATGTTGATCCAGGATATCAGGTCAAATCGTGATATATACGCGAAATGCATAATCTGACCATATTTGGGGAGTGACGCGTTTTATTTAAATGACCGGGCGGAAAAGGCAGAATGATTTTTTTAAAATAAACACAATCTATAAATACGTACTATGGATGGATTTTAAGAAGATTAAAACAAACAGGACGGTGTATAATACAATCTGAGAAAATGGCGTTTATTATTTGTGCACAATATACAACGTATGATTTTGATTGTGCTTTGGAATATGAAAACCGCACCCGTAATTGCATGACGGGAGTGTGATTTTAAGCGATGGGAAAATAAAAACACATCTATATTTGGAATAAATATCACATTTATTTGACACACAAAATACGACGATTTAGTTATTAAGATCATCAGTTTTCCGAATAATAAGAAACTATATGAGAAATTTGGCATATTGGCGTGAATACCGACATACAAATAATACCAGGTTGTTAATAGCTATACACACACTGTTATAAAGATATTCAAATGCTGCAAATCATTCGAATGTAAAGTTTCCCACGACAGTTAGATCTTGTTACTTACGCCAGTCATATAAGCACCTATTCATTCGAAAAAAAATCCTC